GGAGCTGGAGCTGGTGGGGGGAGACGCGGGTGAGAGACGGCCCCGCACCCCTCCGCTCCACGGCGGGTCACAACTGCAGTGGCCTCGGGGCCTCCCCCGCCCTGGCCCTGACCCCGCTGGCCCTGTCCTCACCAGATTCTGCGAGGGCCTTGCCTGGTCCTCCAGAATGGGGCCCAGCCCAGGGGGCGCCTGCTGGGCCCCCATCTGTGTGGGGAGAGAGGGCGGAGGTCAGTGACCGGGTGGAGCGTCCCCGTGCTGGGGGGGACCGAGCCTAGAAGGAGGGCCCTAAGGAGCTGGGAACGTTTCATTTGGGGGAGGGGGCCTAGGAAGTAAACCTTACATTCCCAGGTCCCCAAGAGGGGGCCGTGTCTCAGAGACTCGACGAGGACCCTGAACCAGGAGAGCGGTCGCGGGGAAACGTGGGGGCGGGACTGAGCTGGCCCTGGCGGCCTGGGAGGGTCCCTGGAGGACGGGCCGTGGCTCTGGGGCCCAGGCAAGCAACGGCAGCTGCCAGGAGGCCCTGGGTCACTCACCCCGCGCTGCTGCTCCAGCTTCTGCTGCTGGACCTGCTTGTGGTTGGTGATGACCTGCCGGATGCCGTTGACGAAGCCGCTCTGGTCGTAGGGGATGAGGCCCATGAAGATCTTCTTCTTGGACGAGTACAGCAGCATGAGCACACGCACCTCGCAGGGCGCCGTGTGCGGGAAGTGCACGCAGCCCGCCTGTGGGGGGCAGCGGAAGCGGTCACCGCCTGGAGGAGGTGTCCTGCCTTCCCGTTTCTGGGAGGTTCTAGAAGCCCCACAGGCAAGGGGTGGCGAGGCTTTTGCTGCGAAAGGCTGAGGACGCTGGGGACTGAGGGGCTCAAGAAGGGAGCGGGTGCCCAAAAGGACAGGGCGAGGCTGGGGTTCTTCCCGACTTCGGGAGAGCGGAGAGGAAGCGCCCCAGACGTGGGCTGGATCCCGGCCCTCCAACCTTGACCTTCTGTCCCCATTTGTCGGGCTGCCCTCTTCAGGGCCTCTGGGAGGGGTCACTACTGAAAGGGAGGGGTTTTGACACAGAGCTGGCGCCAGAAGCCCACGGTCAATGGTAGTGGCAGATACCATGACTGACTTGGGGGACCCCAGAGACTCTTACGGTAGCCTCACCCCGTCGGCCTCAGTTGCCAACTGTGAGAACCACAAGTACCAAGCAGCGCCAATGCCACAGGCTGCTGACTGCGGGAATCGTGCACACACACCAGGCGCCCTGCCCGTGGACGCCAGGGAACGCGAGTGAGGCCACAACACGCAGGCGCTGGGAACAGGGTTCCCGAGGGAGGAGGGGCTGACGAGGTTGAGGTCCCACCTCTGAGACCGTGACCAAGTGAGTTTACTTCTCTGAGACTCGGTTTCCCATCTGAGACAGACCGCTAGCTGCCCGTCCCTACCCATCTGCCCTCCTTCCGTGGACAGGACCCCGGTTCCGTCTGGGGCAGCAACACGTCCAGACCCCCCTGGCCCGGACCTAGCCCAGGACATGCAGAAGCCTGCTTGGGGGTGTGGGAAAGCACCTCTTCTGCAGAGAGGGCACTGCGTAGCTGATGCCATCCAGTCATACAAGATCCCTCGTGCTTTAAGAGCCATCTTGTGCCCACGAGGGAGAAGCTAAGAGAACCGAGATTTTGGCCCTGACGCCACAGGGCTACAGAGCTAGTCACAGGAGCCGCCCACCTCTGCATGTGCTGTCATGTGTCAAGAACAAACGCCTGCTTGTACGGCACTTGCTCTGGGGACATCGCCTCGAAGCCCAGCTGCCATGCTGAGGACGCCAGGGCCACACGCGGAGGACGGGTGTAGGAGCTCTAAGGGCCCGGCCCCATGGGCCCCCCGCCGGCAGCCTGCAGCGTGGAAGTCGATCTTGACCCTCCAGCCCCTTCGGGCTTTCCGGCGACCAGTCTCAGCTGTCACCTGATGTCAATGCCACAGAAGTCCCCAAGCCAGGCTAGCTGAGCCCCGCTGACCGCAGAACCATGAGATACTAAACTGTGTCAGACCCCATGCACCCAACGGTCTGTTCTAAACCCCGCTGGCGGCCGGAGCATCCTGTCAGGACAGCCTTCGGAGAGCTGCCCTGAGGGAAGACACCGGAAGTCCCTTCTCTGGGAAAAGCGACCCGATCTGCTCCTATTTAGAGAGGCCCTCCCTCCGTGGGAGGTGAATGAATCAAGTCCTCCAAAAAGACACTCTGAAGTTCCGACCCCCCGTCTCCGCATCGTCAATGTCACCTCATTCGGAAATAAGGCCTTTGCAGATACAACAGGTTAAGATGAGGTCACCAGAGTCACTCCTCACCCAAACACTGGTGTCCTTATAAAAACACACACAGAGGACAGTGCCAGACGCAGACGCAGGGTGGCCACATGCAGACAGCGGCAGAGGTGGGAGCTCTAAGGCCTCAGCCAATCGTCCTCAGCCCCAGGAAACCGATCGACCCAGCGGCCTGGGCTCCCAGCTGCTAGAGGCCATGACGGGCCTCCCCGGAGCCCTGGGTGGCTGCAGCCTGCCGATGGCCCGATTTCAGACTCCTAGTTCACAGGACTGTGAGAAAACCAATCGTCCTCAGCCCCAGGAAACCGATCGACCCAGTAAACCTCTGTCAGGGCCACCAACTTCTTCCCACCTGCTCCTGTCATGTCCCGTCACGGCTCAACCTAAAACAGACCTCCACCTGGTGCACGTCATAGTCACAAAACGAGCTACGGCTCTGGAGCCGCCGCGCCCGCAACGCCCACCGCGACGCCCGCCCGCTGTGGACACCATCTGGGGCCGCCCGCCCGGGACTCACGAAGCCGTTGCCCATGATGCGGTAGAGGCCTTTCAGCGACTCCAGGTCCTTGTTGGTGAAGTGGAACTGGACCATCCTGGAGTTCCGGAACAAAGGGCCCAGCGTGGTCTGCGGGAGACAGCGGCCGGCCAGCGCTTTGAGCGGGGAGGCGAGGAGGGAGGTCAGAGGTGAAGGGGGCCGGGAAGGGATGAGGAGAAAGGGGACGGCGACGGGCAGGGGCTGGGGTCCCCCCGCCTCCCACTCACCAGCAGCTGCTGCGGGATGAGCTGCATGATCAGCTTCTGAGGCCACTGCTCTGTCTTCCTGGGGACGAAGACGAGAGAGGTGTCAGGGGGATGCCGACCCCGGCCCGGCCCGCCCCTCGACAGGCACCTACAGGTTCTCGCCATGGTTCACGTAGACCTGGCAAGGCAGCGACCGTGTCAGCTTGGTGTTGGCGTCTACGGAGGCGGGTTTGGGCTTCTGAGGGGAAAAGGAGGGTGTGTCACAGCGCCAAGGGCCCTGAGCCTCGGTCCGCGCCCCCTGACCACTCTCGCTCTACCCTGGGAGCCCCGAAGCTTAGGGCCTCTCCCCATTTCAGTCCCAGCCCTCGGCCTCTTCTCTAGCCTGTCAACCCCCCAATCCTCCAGCCTTCAAATTCCGCAAATGCTGGGGCTCCCCCTCTTGCCCCAAACCCCACAGCCCTGACCCCTGGATGCCACAGTCCCTGGGGCACCCGTTTGGACCCTGACCCTGAGACTCCTCGATTCTCCACCTGGAACACGACAAGTTCTGCACTCCCTGGGGTCTAGCCTCAGAACCACAAGTCCCGTGACCCCACAGGGGCCCCGCCCCAGCCTGCACCCCGCCCGCCCAACGGGCGAGCTGGCTCACCTCCTGCCACTCAAGGACCCCACTCCAGGCCAGGAGTTTGTTGGAGACTGACTGCTGCCCTCCAAGGGACGAGGGGCCCAGCTGGGCGGTGGGCCCGCTCACCCCGCCCGGGGCCACCGAGCCGCCCTGCCAGAGGGAGGAAACAGGACGAGGGGTGTCAGACCGCCTCCTGGGAGGGGCTGTCCTGAGAAGGGGCAGGCCCCCAGAACAGAACCAAGGTCCCTTCCTCTGCACCCTGTGCCCAGAGTCCCACTCGGCCACCCCCAGGACGTACATGCCGGCCCTGGAGGGTTCCAGGACTCAATCCCGTGACACCTAGGCGACCAGAAGCCTGTGGACTCCTTGGAAATCTCCGCCCACCAGGAACCACAGTCCCATGACTGCACCCCAGGCCCGGCAGCCCCAGCGCTGCCTGCGGTGCAAGCCCCACACGCTGGGCCCGCCGCCCAAGCAGGCGAGCTGCTCGCGCTCTGCGGGGTGTCGGCCTAGGGAAGCACTGGGCAGGGGCGGGCGGGCACCCACCATAGATGGAGCCCCAGGCTGCGCGCTGGGGGCCAGGCCTTGGCCAGGGGCCACCGTGGAGACCAGGCTGGACTGGGAAGCGGAGGATGGCTTGGGGGCGCCAGGGGGCCCCTGGGGCAGCGGAGGGGCCTGGGCCTGGCTGAAGGGGGGACCCACTCCTGGAGCTGCTTGCTGGAGAGGGTTGATGGGCGAGACTGTGGGAGAGACCAAGGCAAGAGGTGGGCGGGCGCACAGAGGGTCTGGCCGGCCCCGCCCACCCCGGCCTGGCCAGGGGACTCACAGCGCGGGCCCAGCCCGGCCTTCTGGTTCTTGGCGGCCTCCACTGCATTCTGGGCGGCCACCTGAGCTGCACTCAGGTTCCCGGGAACCTTGGGAGAGAGGAGAGGGGCTGGTGAGGGCCGTGCCCCTAGTCCTGGTGTCCCATGGGGCCACACCCCCTACAACTCCACAAGGCACAGGCACGCCGACTCCAGGATCACGGGGGCTCCTGACTGCCATCACCCTACAGGAAGGTGACGCCCCGGCTCCCACTCCTCACATCCCGAAGGAGACTCTCATCCCCTACAAGCCCCAACATCCAACTAGGGCTGTCCCAAGGGGCCAGGGCTCCCACAAGACCCAGAAGCACGTTCCTTTCTCGGCAACGTCCATACCTGGTACTGCTGGGGAACAGGCGGCAGAGGCTGCTGGGGGGCCGCCGAGAGCGTGGCGCCAGAGGGTGGAGCTGGAGGCAGGGGAACAGACTGCTTTGGCTGGAGGGGGCCTGAGGCCGAGCCGCCCCCGACTGCGAGCCGAGGATGGACGGCCGAGCCCGTGAGACGGGGTTCCAGTGAGACAGCGTGCGAGAGAGGAAGGAAATCCGATTTAGAGGGGGCCCGCTGGCAGGGGCCCCCGCCCACCCCGGCGCCCGGGCCTCACCTGGCAGCACCAGCCCCCGCACCAGCACCATATGCCGTGGGTCCTGGCTCACGTCTGTCGGTGGCTGCAGCGGCTCCAGCATGGCAGGGGGAGCTGCCTTCTCGAACAGAAGCCGCAGGGCAGGCAGCTTCCGGGGAGACACGATGGAGAAGTGGATCCCTCGCTGCGGGAGAGAGGCGCAGTCAGGACGGGGCCACGGGGCCACCCCGCCTGCCGCATGGGCCCTAAGACGCTCACATTGGGTTCTGGGACAGGGGGCTGTGTGGCCTGTGTTAGCTGCCCCAAGGGATTCTGGGCTGCAGTTCTCCCAGCTGGCCCCCGAGTCTGCGACCCTCCCGTGACCCGGGAGTCCTCCCTCGGACCCGGAGCCCTCACCTCCCCGATCTTCTGCACGAGGCTCTCCGTCGTGCACCCGGAGTACGTGGTGCTCTCGACAGCGGGCAGCAGGTACGGAGGCGAGTTACAGATGAGGAGGCAGACGCGGTGTGTCTGGCCACTGCCCGGGACAAGGAAGGGACGTGAAACAGGCGGCAACCGAGGTCCCACAAAGGGACCTAGGCCCGGTGCCAGCGGAGGTGCGGGCACTCCACCCCACGGGCATGAGGAGAAACGGCCCGTTTACCGCTGGGGACACCGAGCCTCGCTGTGTCCCCGCAGGCAGGAGGAAGATCCCCCTCCCTTCCCGATGAGGACACCTAGACTGGGCGCCAGCCAGGGGATGCCCCCGAACTCCCAGCCCCAACTCCCCAGTGTGAGGCGGGGGGAGGGGGGTCTCCCAACAGGCGACGCGGACACGTGTACGAGCCGGGGCACTCACATCTGCTCTCGCATCTTCTTGAAGTCGTCGAACAGCTGCAGGGCCGTGCTGAGGCCTTCTGCGATGAGGCTGCAGCTCTCGCCGCCCCCGCCCATGAACCTGCAGGAGGCCAGGCTGTCAGCACCCAGGGCAGCACCTCCCACCTCGAGGGGCCCGCAGCCCCCAGGGTGCCACCTCCCGGCCCCTAGACCACACCTGAAGAGCCTGCACCCGTGGCATCGCCTACCCTGCCCTGCACTGCGAGCCTTGTGGGACAATGGGGACATTGTCAAGGTCCCTGCTCTATCCCCAGTGCTGGCACAGTGCCAGGCCCAGAGGACAAGGACAGGGGACCTCTCTCATCTGCAAGAAGGTCCTCAGGTAAGAGGCCCCGTCAGAGAATGAAGAGGGAAGGGGCCTGGCGCCCCGTGCTGTGTCCCGACGCCCGTGCACCGCCCTTCTGTGGCCATCTCTCTACCTCGAAAGCCGGGTGTGGCCTCACCGTCCCAGCCCGGTACAGGGCCCTCCTCTCCTCCCAGCCTTATGGGCCAAATCACGTCCCCAGAGAGGGCCTGACCGCCAGCACCTCAGACGCATGCGTATTTGGAAACAGCCCTCAGAGGTGATCAGGCTACGCTGAGGTCACTAGGGTGGGCCCTCGTCCCATACGAACTGGGTCCTGATGAAGGAGGGGCTGGGACAGGGACGGACACGCTCAGACGACGTGGGAGGCGGGCAGAACGCCACGTGGTGAGCGCAGCGCTGACCAGAAGCTGGAGGCGGCGGGAAAGGATCCTGCCCCGCGGGGTCCACGCCTGACCTCGGACCCCTGGAGTCTCCCCTGTGACACGTGTTCCCGCCGTCCTGGCCCACTCGGGTTTTACTCCTTCGCTGCAGCAGCCCCAGGAAACTGACACACAGACTCGGCTTTCTCCACCTGGCCTGTCAACAGGTCACCAGGGCCCGTCCCCGCGTGGCTCATGGAGGGCCTCGGCTACAGCACAGCTATTGCCACCGTGATTCATGTGGTCGCGAGGCTGACTCTTTGCCACTGGGGACATCTGTGCAGACTGGGCCCTGCTTTGAGGGCCCTTGTCCATCTTTGTCCATGTCTGTGGCCGTCACTCCCACAAGGCAGAGCCAGGATTCAAGTCCTTTGTCACTGCTGGCCTCACCCCCTCCAGCCTGGCACAACGGAGGCCCTGGGAAACGGTGTGGGATAAACAAATCCAACCACATCCATCGAGGCCAGAACAAAGCCCGGCCCCCAGCCGACGTCTGGGGTCCAAGCCCACCTTCCTGCTCCATCCGTGTCTGGTGCAAGTCCTCCAGAATCTCTCACACGTCCCTGGTCTCTGTGACCTGCCACACGTCCAGGGCTCCGCTGTCCGCCCCACACCAAAGGCAGAGACCCGCTTCTCTCTCCTAGTGCCCAGACCAGCGCCATCCTGCTCTGGATAGCCCACCCCGATAATATCACATGTCACCCGATACCGTAACTGTCAAGCTTCCCGTCCAGCCCACCTCGCACCCCCAGAGCTGGCGCAGGCCTCGGGGAGGGAGACCGATGGGTCTGAGCCATGTCTAGGCCTCTAAGCACCCGCTGGACAAGTGCACGCAGCAGCGGCCCGGCAGAGTCACGGCCAAGGGCTCGGCGAGTGCTTCCGGGTCGCGGGCTGCCGCCCCTGCTCCAACGTGCCTGCGAGCTCCGCGACCACGTGTCCCCCCGGGCCCGGAGTGCCTGGGCCGCCACCGCCCCTCCGCACTCCACGGCCAGCCCTGCTCTGCGTCACTGCTGAGACCTGCTTTACACAGCAGTTTTAATGGCGCAGAGTGTGGCCGGCTCTGGTGAATGAGCCCACCCTGCATCCACCCAAATGACAGCTTCCTGCACTGGAAGGAATCAGCCACTGCTGTCACAGCCCTTCTGAGACCGGGGCCCAAGGCGCGTGGCTGGGGGACCGGGGTGGTGGCCGCGCGACACTGTGAGTGTCTCCAACGCCACTGAGTCGTTCACTTTGAAATGACCGCTCGTTACCCGGATTCCCCTTAGTTAAGGAGGCGAGCCGAGGTAAACTGATCCACGACCGCTCTGAGACCCTGAAGCTGGCTTTTCTGCACTGGACCCTGAGCGTGAGCCGTCTGCCACTAGCTTGGAAAGATACGTAACAACTATTCAGAGAAATGAGAAAATCCTAAGAATGAGAAGCAGAAAGAAAAAAAAACATGGCCAAGTGCGAAACGTTCTAAATATCATAAAGTTTATGACACGCCAGAGTTCCACGTGAACCGCATGACGCCACCAAGTAGAATGAAAGCAAACGGGAAGTGTGCTTGGCGCTGACTCTACCGCTTCCTCGTCCCCACGCCCCCTGTGGCCTCCCTGCTGTCACACCCTGCAGTCTCTGTCACCCACTGTCACAGGCTGTAGGTCTCTGGAGGCCCCAGAAGTACTGGCCAAATGAATGAATGTGAACGGCAGCCAGCCAGGCTGAGGGTGCCCGTGTGCTGGGTCCCCACCTGTCGCCGCAGCCCAACACCAGCTCATCTGGTGTCCCGACTCCTCAGTGCCGAGGACGGTTTGCTCCACAAACGTCCGGGCTGTCGCAACGCCATGAGGAATTCCTTGTCCTTCTACCTTATTCTTTCTGACGTGAGTCACTAGCTGAGTGTGTGGGGAATTTGCCTTTTTTGTTAAGAAAGTAAGTGTAACGCCAGAAATGAATCTTCTCAAAGTAAGACCATTTCGAAAATCACACTGCATGCTTTGTTCCTTAATTTTCCAGCCCTTCCTGGAGAAAATAAGATTTCTCCAAGTGTGAACAAAACTCATGGACTCTCTTTGTGACCTGCCTGGAACGTCACAGAAACTGAATTTGGATGGTCACACAGGACTTGATAAACACAATTGTGATCGTGAATATAAAATAATGGCTTCAAATGTCTCCCAGCTGACGGAGGGCGCTACAGCGCGTGCAGCGCACAGAACGTTTCTAATGCGGAGGGTGGACATGTCATGAAGGTATCCAGAAGCTTCCTAGTGCCCTTGAAGATTTTCAATAAGGGGGCCTGACTGCTTTTCCTGACACTTAAACACCCGTCAGGAGATCTGGTTTCTTGGTGATTATCTTTTCCAGAGCTTTCCCTCAATCATTTACTCAGCCAAGGTCTCCTGAGGCCTCTTGGGTGCCAGGCCCCAGCTGAAAGCAAACACCCGGGGTCTAGGACATTCAGAGTCCAAAGGCGAGGGGCTGTGTCAGGGGAACACCTGGGAGTGACGGGGGCAGAGGGAGCAACTGGCTGCTCGCCAGAATCCAGGAAGGGACATTTGAGTGGGGTCTTGAAGCTTATATAGGAGTTTACCGTGGAGGACAGAGCATGAAGTGCATTCTGAGCATTCGTTCATCACTCACTTGTTCGACAAAGCCTTCCTTCAGCCTCCTTTGTGCCAGGCCCGGTGCTGGGTGTAGAAACTGAGGGACATCAGATTTGTGCACAGGCAGACCCCCCTCAAGGAGCCCCCCATTAACGTTATTCAATCCTTACTCAATGGTTATGTCCCCCTTAAGGTTGCTCAAGCCTTATCCAGTGGTTATGTCCCCTTAACGTTATTCACGTCTTACTCAGCGGTCTGTCCCGGACGTTCTCAGCTGGGGTGGATTTTGCCCCCAGGGACATCTGACAACATCTGGAGTTATTTTTATTTGTCACAACTTGGGACAGTTGTTTGTCACGACTTCCTGAAGTGGCTGGCATCTGGTGGGTGGAGGTCAGGGATGGTACTGAACAACACATAAGCAGTGCCCGCAACAAAGAATCACCTGTGCCAACCGTGCAGAGGTTCAGAAACCCCGCTCCGCCCTGACCGCTTAGTCTGATGACGAGGGGAAGGTCAGGGTCATCTCTCCACCAGACAGTCAGCAGCCAGTCCAGCACACAGCCTGGACCAAAGCAGGCACCCGACGAGCATCTGAACGTACAAAGAGGACAGCAGCCACGAGAGGGCGCTGACCACAGAGCAGGCCCTGAGCCAGACACAGGATGAAGACGAGCCCCTGCGATCCCCCCAAAGTCCCGAGATACGGACCACGTCATCCATTTGCAAACCAAAAAACTGAGACGTGAGATACCGGCAAACACTCGGGTAGCACTTAATACACGCCAGGCTCTGTTCTCAATCATCGGCTCGTTTAATCCCCAAAGGGTCCCCGCGGAGTCACGGCAGCCGGGCGCCCAGCAGTCCCCACCGCTTGCTACTCACACCCGTAGCATTCACGCTCCCTCAAACACTGAATACGACTGACTCTTGCACCACCCAGAAGTGGCAGAAGCGATGGTGTGTGGCTTTTAAGACCCGATCATAAAAAGCCCGGGGGTTCCTCTTTGCTTTTGGCTGACCGCTCAGATGAGGAACGCCAGCTGCCATGTTAGGAGGACATTCCAGCAGCCCCATGGAGAGCCCTTGTGGCTAACTAATAGCCATAGGGTGAACCCCTTGGAAACGGATCCTCCGAAGACGCAATCGAACCCGGGGAACACTGCACCCCCGGCTCATCGTGACTGCAACCTTATGAGTGACCTGAGCCGGGACCATCCCGCTAAGCCACTCCCGAATTCCCTGCTTACACGAACTGCATGAGATAATGCACCTTTGTAGTTCTAAGCCACTAAGGTTTGGGGTAATCTCTTATGCAACAGCGGATTGTAGTAAATAATTGATGCAGATACAGACGCTCCTCGACGTACGTCCAAACGTACCGCATCGTAAGTTGAAAATATTACAGGTTGAAAACGCATTTAACCTCCTGAACACTACAGCTTAGCCCAGCCGGTTTCTATCGAATGCCTATTCTGCGCGACGGTCAAGTCAAAAAACCTTAACTCAAGGACCCCTTTTCGGAGATAAGTTACATCAGGCACAGAGAAGGCAGGGACTCGTGGGTCCCCTACCGTACTGCTGTGATTTGAGCCCCGGCTGTCTGCACCTGCAAGAGCCCACGATGTGAACTAACAAAATTCGGTCCAAAGCACAGAGGACTCTCTCCTGGCCCAGCCCCATCCCACCTGCACTTGGGTTTCAGTGCACTCGTGTGGAAAAGGAGAAGGGACTTAGAGATGAGAACAGCAGACAGGGAGGAGAGTGACGGGGGGCTGCTGGAGCTCCAGGCTTCCTTGCCTGGGAAGTCTTTGCTAGTACCAAACTTCTCCCCAAATCGCTGAGCACACGGAACCCACTGCAGAAGTGACTTATGGACAAAAACACAACCGCCCCCCCTCAGTCCTTTCAGCTACCCAATATGACCCCAAACACCACCCGTTCACACAAGGTCCCCCACAGGATCCCCCAACCCACCCCAAACCGGGGGGAAAGAAAAGCTCACTTAATGCCATCGAGCCAGGTGACGAACTCATAAGCGCTGCTGGTGGGAGCGTGGCACTGTACGTAGGACTCAGGAGCGCAGTCCACCGTGTTGAACACCACAAGGCTGTACTGGGTCCCTCCATACTGGGAGGCAAGGAAGGAGAAACTTTTGACTGGGACTTCGGAGGAGTCGGGGCTCCCAGCCCCTCCTCCCTCGACCTCGGGAATCCGAACCCCAGCCCCTCCTCCCTCCGGCCCGGAATCCGAACCCCCAGCCCCTCCCTCGAACCCGGAGTCCGAACCCCAGCCCCTCCTCCCTCGATCCCGGGAATCCGAACCCCTTCGCCCTCCGCATCAAGAGCCCCAAGACTCACGTCTCCCCCGAAGTCCGTCTCGGCCGGAGGACCACCATTAAAATACCTGTGAGGGTCGGGGGTGAACAGCCGGGGTCAGGCCAGATCTGGGCGGGGGGAACACCGATCGGAGGGCGGGGCTGGCGCGGCGGAGGGGGGCACTCACTCGATGGCCGGTAGCAGGTAGTGCTTGCGGAGCCCCTCGAAGTAGGGCCCCAGGTTGGCCGTGCCCTCAATCACAAACACCACGTCAGCCACCAGGCCCCCGGCGCGGGCCGGGCCCTCAGACCCGGGGACCATCACGCGCGAGGTGGACGCCACGGCCGCCGCAGCCTCCGCGGGATGAGCGGAAGTGCGCCTGCGCGGCGCGCGCACTCGCGCCGGACGGCTTCGCGCCGCCGCTGACGCGCCCGCGGCCATGTTTGTGCGGGGCACGCCGGGCGCGTCGGTTCTAGCTCCGCCCTCGCGTCTGTTCTAGCTCCGCCCCCGTTCGCGCCCACCACGTGCAAGACTCAGAAAGCGCATAGCATGAACCCCTTTGGGCAAGCCTGATAAGAAAGGCTGAATTATTTGCAGGACTGTCGAGAGCGAACTATACTGAGAGCGACACTGTCGGCCGTCATCTTTGAGCGGGGCGCGGGTGCCGACTCCGGTCTCGATGGGAGGGTCAGGAGACCTGGTTGCTATGCAACGCGTACGCTGCCCTTGTTTTCTAACAGAGAGGTGAGGTTTCCAGTTAAGTTCGTTCGGGCTCAGGGGGATGGGCGTGTGAACGATCCAATCGTGTCGTTCGAAATGGTGTAACTAGGCAACGCTCTAAGGTTGCCATCAACTCGGGTGCAGCTGTTTCCCCCCCCCACCCGAAAAGAAGCCGGACTCCAACCCCAGTGAAGGTTGCTAGGCAACACCTGTTCGTTTTCTGGGCGAGGAGCCAGAAAAAGGCCTAGAACATAAATACATTCCAGGTGGATTAAAATCGTAAATGCAACAAATGAAACCATAAAAATATCTGAAGGAATAAACACTTAATTGCATACGCCTGAAGAATGGAAAAAAAGTAAAATACTAATCAGTTTGTCCGCAAAAGGCTCCAGAGACCAAGTTGAAAAAATACGTTGAACTGGAAGTCATTGAAACCTATGTCTTGACAGAAATTTACTACACAAATACATCTTGCTAATCAATAAAAACTTAGAAAAGTAGAAACGCTTTATCATATTTCAAAAGGGAAGGAATGTAAGCAGGCTTTTCCCACACACGAAGAAATCAAAATGGCAAACATCTGAAAACTGCTCATCTTCAATTAGAAAGCTCTAAGAGAAAGTCCGATGATATAGCATTTTCCCTTTGTCCTGTTAATATTGGAAAGAGAAATGTCCAGGGAGGCTCAGATGGAGTGTAGTGCGGGTGTAAATCCGAACAACTCGCTCCAGTGCAGTTTGGCAATATATTTCAAAGTAAAGGGGTGCATTCCTTTTGCACGCAGCAGTATCCTCATGTTGTCACATTTACCCTACCCGTTGCTTTTTTCTTTTATTTCCTTTGCTGAAGACTTTTAAAACAAATCCTCACAATCGTATCATTTTATCTCTACGTGCTTAACTGCCATCTCTAAAAAGCTACGGATATTTTCTTATATAACCAGTATGCCATTATCGCCCTTAAACTTTTTTCTTAGTATCATCTAACACTAAATCCATAATCAAATTTCCCCACTTCTCTCAAAAATGTTTTTACAATTGCTTTATTCACATCAGGATCCAAACAAAAACCGAACCCATATTTAGACCTATCTCAAATTTTTTTTTTCAAATTTCTTTTCATCTAAAGCAGCTCCCTCCTTTTTTTATACCAGTGTATTTCAATTTTTAATGTAATTACAAGGAAGATAAAATGGAGAAAAGAAAAATGATCGACAGATAAGATGTAAATGGCACTTAACATTAAAATTTGCCCTGTCAACTACAGGAAACTTTTCTTTCGATAAGGTGAACGTGTGATAGGTTGCATTAAATGATTTTTAACGATTTCCACTAATATATTACAAGTGGGAAAATGAACTATTAGATATTTTAAACTGGACTTCAGCTTCTGGCATTATGGTAGGGTAGTCTTCAAGAATTCCCCTTCCCCTCAAAAAAAGACAGAAAACCAGAAATTAACAAAAGGGGGGGTAAGGGTGGGGTAGAACTGCTTGGCATTACCAAGAGCCTGAAGGCAACTGTCAGTTGAAAAACAGATTGGTTCTCCAGCTAAGCAAGGGCCTTTCAGGGCAGCTGAACTAATTCCACGTTGTTAATACTCCTGGCAGTCTGCAGAAGTAGAAGCAAATCCTCCCCATAGGCCTCAGATCAATATTAGCACAGTGATCACGTTTGTGAAAACGTGTCAATATTCTGAATTAAATTGTCAACTTTTCATTTTAAAGAAAGGATTTGGGGAAGCTTTTCATATTCTACGTGATACGGTATCATGTGTAAACTCATTACGAAAGTTATGCTTTTATGATTCCGGGAAATAAAGGATTTCAGTTTTCTTTTTCTAATAACAATCATCTCATTTGGTGGTTACTAGGCAACGCTCGCCGGACCAAACCATCCTCGAGGGTGAGGGGGGAAATGGCGTTTTGCTCGATTCTGCTGTAAGGAAGGGTGCTCGGGATTCGTCATGAAGCCACCTTTGAACCGGCACAGCTGTTTACAGCTTCAGGATGGAATGTAGACTGGTTGCTAGGCAACGCTTTGGCACCGTCGCCATCTTTGAGTGGGGCACAGTTTATTTAGAACGTAAAACATCCTACCCTACGTGATGGTTGCTAGGCAACGCCTTGGCTCGGTCACTATCTTCAAGATGGGCTTTTTAGTCTCCTCTTTAATTAAAGAAAGTCAATCACTTCAGGGAGAGTCTATGGAGTTCTGCAAGGAAGATTTGCCGCCATCTTTTGTTAGAGGTATTGCGACTTCCGGCTGGAACGGAAGAGAACTTAACGGGGTTTGGAGGAGGTGCCGGAATAGGGATTGAGGGTGCATTTGCGTTGGATGGAGGCGGGAATCTAGTCCTTTCCCAGTCGGCTCCCCTAAGTCGCCCTCTGGCGGCTTAAGACGGCAGCCCTACTTAGTGTGACTACGGTCGATGCTCCAAGGCGGGCACTGACTGTCCCCACGAGGGGCATTCGAAATGGGGGAGGAAGGGACGGAGGGCACGGTACATCTGCTGTGTCTCGCGGCCTCCAGCGGAGTCCCACTGTTCTGCAGAAGCAGCCGCGGCGGCACCCCCGCCCGCCAGCAGGTGGAGCCCTGGACGCCTGGATCTCCGAAATAGAAGGGGGCTGGGAGCTTGGACTCTGGGTCTTCAAGGGAGTAGGGGCTGGGGAAGTTTCCGAGTTGAGTTTAGAGGGTTCAGAATAATCCTGGTTGAGTTTAGAGGGTGCACGAATAATCCTGGTTCTCTAAAGAGGAGGGGTCAGGGGATCTAGAAGGGAGAGGGGGCTACGGGCCTGGATTCTTGGGTCCCAAGGAGAAGGGGATTGGGGGTTCCTATCTAATGTCCCCAACCTTTTCCCCAGCTCCCGTTCTCCATCATCGGCTCCCTCAATGGAGTCCACATGTTCGGGCAGAATCTCGAGGTGCAGCTGAGCTCTGCCAGGACCGAGGATACCACCGTGGTGTGGAAAAGCTTCCATGACAGGTCTTCAAGTGGCAGTTTGGAGCAGGGACAGGGCCCTGGTGATAGCCCCGAGGCCTTCCGGCTCTCTAAGGCCAGCTGTTTACTTGGCTGTGGGATCTCTGACACGCCAGTTACCCTCTCTGATGCCTGAGTTTATCTGTATGAGTGCTGGGGGAGGACGTAGCCGGCATCCAGGACCAAGGGCAAACTCTGCTCTCCTCACTGCCTCATTTCTTTGGCCTGGATTCATTCTTCCTTCTCACTTTCTCTTCTCACAGTATCACTCTCATCGTTCTGTCATCTGAGGAGGGCACCTCGGAGCTGAGACTAGAGAGGCTCCTCCAGATGGTATTTGGGGCCATGGTGAGAATCCCCAGCCCTCCTTACCAAACCCAGGAATCTGAACTCTCAGCATCCTTCTCCCTAAGATCTAAGAGTCCAGATTTCCAGCCCTTCCTGTCCTAGAGCCAGCTGTCCAGGCCCCTACTCTTATATGGTTATTCTAGGTTCTTCTTGTGGGACTCGAAGAACTGACCAATATCCGCAACGTAGAGCGACTGAAGAAGGAATTGAGGGTGAGGCTACTGATATTTGGGAACTACAATTCCCAGCAGCCCCTGGGGCAGCCTGACCTTGCAGGTTCTTGGGGCAGCTTGGTCATCTGACCCTGGGGCTAGACACCACCACCCCGCAAACCCCGCCCCCAGGCAGTTTTCCAAAGGGAAGGCAGCGATCTGGGGCCCACCTAGGTCCTAGGTGCCGCCCTTCTCCCTCTGCTAGGCCAGTTACCGCCTCATCGACAGCTTCCTGGGGGACTCAGAGCTCATCGGGGACCTGACCCAGTGTGTGGACTGCATGGTTCCTCCAGAGGGGTCTCTCCTGCAGGTATCGGGAACGTCTCGGGCACTTTTAAACCTGTCCCCGTGGCCCGAGCTCAGACCTCATCCTCTTACCCCTGGACCATTGCCTCCACCTCTTCACATCCTCTCGGCTTCCAGTCCCACCCACACGGGGCCCCAAAAGGATTTTTCTTTTTTTTTTTTTTAGGTGAGGCAACCCTTGGTTGACTTCAGACTGCAAGGACCTTAGCTTACTATCTCTTATTTTTTTAAACTTTTTATGCCTACAGCACCTGGTCTTCCTAGGTGAGCTTACGGTTTTTTTTTACTTTTTACGCCTACAGCACCTGGTCTTCCTAGGTTGTCTCCCATCCAAGTACTAATCAGGCTCGACCCTGCTTAGCTTCTGAGATCAGACGGGATCAGGCTTGTTCAGGGTAGCATGGCCGTAGACCCAAAAGGATTTTTTATACACAGAGCTGTCCCCACCCCTCCTCTGGTCACAGCTTCCATCACCCCCTGGGACGAAGTCCCAGCTCCTGGCCCAGCTGCCTCAGAGGTCCCACAAATCTAATCAACTTCCCAACTTCCTTGCCTTGGTACACACTGTTCCTTCTGCGTGGTGAATCTACCCTTCCCTAAATACTGATCTTGTGGATTCACCTGGCATGGCCTCTCCCATCAGTGTGACTCTCAGCAGGTGACTTGACCCCTCCCAGCTTCAGTAGGTCGTTGACCGTGCCTACTTGACACATAGTAGGACTCGATAAACCATAGCTGCTGCTGTTGTAATTATTAGCCTTAGTAGCACATGTTGGGCGGGGTAGCAGGCCCCTTACCTGTTGAATCTAACTTCACGATGTGACTTGGGCATCGTACCGGCATTTGAAGATGAAGGAACCCCGGCCCAGGGAGGGTGAGGAACATGAGCATGGCCACCAGGCAAGCTTTTAATTGTATGCCGGTCTGTTCCCACTCCTCGCCCACCTGGGAAGTCATTGCTGCCCCTGCTCGTGTCCCCTGACTCGCTGTCGGCCTGTCTCCCTTACCCAGGAAGCCCTGTCTGGGTTCGCCGAGGCTGCGGGCACGGCCTTCGTCAGCCTGGTCGTGTCGGGCCGGGTGGTGGCAGCAACAGAGAGCTGGTGGCGGCTGGGGATGCCGGAGGCAGTGCTGCTCCCCTGGCTGGTGGGGTCCCTGCCGCCGCAGGCCGCTCGCGACTACCCGGTGTACCTGCCGCACGGGAGTCCCACGGTGAGTGGGTGGGGCGGGCTGCGGAAGGCGAGGGCCCGGACACGTGTGCGCGAAGGGGTGGCACCCGGCGGCGGAGTCGCGGGGAGGCGGGGCTTGTGATGGAAGGGGCGGGGCTCCGGCCCGCCCACCCTGCGCGCCCTGCTTCAGGTCCCGCACCGGCTTCTGACCCTGACTTTGCTGCCGGGCTTGGAGCTGTGTCTGCTCTGCGGGCCGCGCCCTCCCCTCAGCCAGCTGGATCCACAGGTGAATTCGGGCTGTGTCCTGCTTTCCCTTTATTACACCCTCTGCCCGCGAGCCCCGCCCTTCCCTCCTCACCCCGCCCTGGGAGGCTCCCTGGCCCCGCCCCTGCAGGCCCCGCCCCCTCGGGCTGCCCTCCAATCGCCTTCACCCCAGCTTGGCCCCTCTTTCGCCCTGACCCCATCCTTCCAGTCCTCGTCCCATCCACCGTCCCGGTCCCCTCTGCCCTCCGCCCTTACGGGCCACGCCTCCTGCCCACACCTCACCCTCGCCCCCTACAGCTTCTGGACCGCTGGTGGCAGCCACTGCTGGACCCGCTGCGGGCCTGCCAGTCTCTGGGACCCCGAGCGCTGCCCGCTGGCTTCCCCCTGCACACGGACATCCTCGGGTACGGCTCGGGTGGGGCAGCGGCTGCGTCCTCATCCCCTCTAGCCCTGGCTGTGACACTCTCTTTTTCCAGACTGCTGCTCCTCCACCTGGAACTAAAGCGTTGCCTCTTCACGGTGGAGCCCTCGGGAAATAAAGGTGACCGAGGGGCGCGGGGCTGGCAGGGCCGGGCCCAAAGGGACACGCTGTCACCCTCTCTTCCGCCTCCAGAGCCTTCCCCTGGGCAGCGTCGGCACATCCTCCGCTCCTTCTACGCCCTGGTCACGGCCGCGCACTTCCCGCCAGGTCAGTGGAGGGCACCATGCCCCCTTTGCACAGGCTGGGGAAACTGAGTCCCAGGTCGCTTTGGGGTGGGGTAAGAGGAGAGAGAACTGGTGGGGCCCAGCATGCATTGGGCATGGCTCTCCTGGAGGCCCCAGCACCCATGCTGATGATGGGCAGGGTGGGGCAGGGAGGTCCCAGCCTGGAGGTCCCAGGCTTCCTGGGTAATCCTAACTGTTCACACCGAGACCTCATCTCTTGCCAAGTGCTTTATATGTAATGACTCACTCCATCCTCATAGGTAAGGGTTACCTCCTGTTAGGTCGTCATTGTCATATTACAGATGGGGAAGCTGAGGCCCAGCTTATAAGCGCAGAGCCACGAGTCACACAGGCGACGTGGCTCCTACAGCCACACTCTCCACTGCTTAGAGTACAGGCTATACCGAGTCTTGGGGAGCGCGTTCCCCAGAGCCCAGGATAGGAAAAGTGGTCCTAGAACACGAGGCCCCAGAGACAAAGGAAGGGACCCGGGGTGATGATACCACCCCAGAGACGACCCCGATGGATGTGGCAACATGGTCAAAAGCTCCACTGGGAGGGGCAGATGACTACCCCTTCCTGACTGTCGGCTCCACCTCTTCCCACCTGCCTCCCACATTTAAAGTGGGGTGGGGTCCTCAGGGGTCCCCTGTACCTGGAGCACAGTGACTGGCACCTGGTAAGACACCTGTGTTTGCAATTTGTGTTGCTAAGCGGATTGCCCGCGGCTACCCGCAGTATCCCCAGGAAAGAGGGGACCGAGACTGTGTGGGAGGAGGGGCAGCTGAGTGAGGAAGTCTGTGGCCTTCAGGTCGCTGGCAGCCGGATGGAGCCCTGAGGCCTGCCAGGAGTCAAACTGAGGCCCGGGATGGGGTATGGCCTCTGCAGGTTGGCATCCCAGTGGTCCAGGCCCCACTGGTCACCTCGGCCCTCCCTGTCCTTTCTTCAGAGCCGGGGCAGCAAGAGGAGAAGGTGGAGAATGCAGCCCACCGGGTCCAGGTGCCGCGAGCCTGCTACCAGGTGTCGGGAACTGAAGAGCCAGGCTCGGGATGGCGGTTGGTGGCCCTGCATTTGGGGCCCCGGCTGCTGCTGCTGTTGCTGTCTGCTCAGAGTCCCACCCATGGGCTGCGGGGCCTGGCCACCCACACTCTGCATGCCCTCACCCCTCTCCTCTGACCACTGGGCATGAGTGACAGACAAGGACCCAGGGCTGTTAGCATCTTTCGATTTATTCGCTCACAATAATACACAGCCCCTGGACAGGGACAGGGCAGACGGGCCACGACGGGGTCAGATGGGAGGGGAGGAGGCGCCTGCTTCCCTGGCCCCTCTCCCCTCTGTGCTTGGGGGAGAAGAGGAGGGAGGGGGCTCCCCTTACCCCCCAGAATGTAAACAGCAGCAGATGAACAAAAATAAAAATACAAAAGGCCGGAGGAAGGTCCTAGGCATCCCCCTTCCCCAGGGTCTTCCCTGTCACCAGCGGCCGTCCCCTCACTACCCCATCCACCAAAGCTCCCTTAGTGCTCGGGGCTGCCTGGCACTGGCCACATCCCCAGGGGCGGAGTCCAGGGCTCAGAACTGCTGGGCCAGCAGCTCGCACAGGTGACGGGAGACGGGCTCCTTGCTGGTACGCAGGGTCAGCCGGTACATCTGGGGGGGGACACAGGAGGGCTGGGACTCAGGGAGGAGGCAGAGGGATGGCGCAGGCCAGGTAAGAACCCAGAGAGGAAGATATAGGGGAGACAGAAGATGCGAGGAGAGGAAAAGGAAGAAGGGGTCAGAAACGTGACAGAAGAGACAGGAAACAGATAAAGGGGAAAATAGAAAGAGAAGCCCAGAAGGGTGGGAAGGTTACGGACAGACAGACACCGTGGTGGGAGGGCGGCGAGAGGAAGCCCAGACTTAGAGGACTGCAGGGGTGGGGACAGACGATGCGCACCATGTAGGGGGTGACACGTGTCTCAGGCCGGCCTCCCAGACCCCACGCACCTGAGCCTGGGCATTGGGCTCCAGCCGGAGCAGACAGCCCACCTGCAGGGCCTTAGTCTGGATGATTCCAGCCCCCACAAAGTTTTCAGGGTTGGGGTCCACGTTGTCCAAGAGAGCAGAGCCGAAACCCAGGAGCTGAGGAGGAAGAGGGGTGCCAGCCCTGTCAGCTGCCAGACAGTGGCGCACACCAGTTCCCAAAACCCATTTGACAGAAGGGAGAACAAGAGGTTGAGAGGCAGAGCGGCCCCTGCTTCCCGCATGCAGAGCTGGAGCGGGGCAGGGCTGGGATGTCAGAGCAGGGGCACTGTCTCGCCCCACTCCTCTCACCTTGGCCTTGGTGACTTCGGGGTCCATGGGGTGGTTGGCTTTGAAGATTTTCTGCGCCTCCTGCTGGGGGCTGAGGCAGGAAAGGGTGGATGGAGTCAGGGTCCCCCGCAGCCCTGGCCTGCCCGCCCTGGACCAGCTGTGGCTCCACCCCCACCCGCTGCTCACAGGCTCAGCTGCTTCCAGCGCTGGAAGAAGTCCTGGGCTGCCATCTCCGTCGGCTGGAAGAACTTGTTGATGGTCACTGGGAGCTTCAGGGTGAGGGACTGGGGGGCACCTCCATACCTGGCCAGGAAGGAAGAGGGCTCCATCAGACCGTGCCCCTCACCCAGAAGCCCCGCCCACCCGGTCGACCCTACTGACTCACCGGAAGCGCACAGACAAGAAAGGCGGCGCCAAGAAGTCACGCAGACACTCGATGTTGAGCACCTGCTGCACCTGCGCCCCGCCGTCCACTTGCGCGGCCACGCGCTTCGTCTGCACCGCCAGCTGTGCGCGCCGTCGTCAAGGAAACGAGAAACGGGAGGTGGCTCCCCGGGGCCCTCGCTGCTAACCTCTGGCGGGGCCAGGCCCTGTCATCCCAGGTTCAACCTACTAGACCCAGCTCCAGTCCTTCCTATGCTAAACCACTGACCCTCCACAGCGGGCTCAGCGACCTCCATGACAGCGCATGTCACATCGTACTGCGGCAAGAGCTGCCCCGAGTCTGAATCCCAGCTCTTAACCATCTCACTGACGGTGGGCAGGTGACTTAACCTCTCGCAGCCTCCCCTGCAAAATGAGCATATCCTCAGAATTCAGTGAAATAATCCAGCACCGGTACTTGTCTGTGTGTTTGGCACGTGGTAAGTGCACAAAAACAGTGGCGATTCGTGTCATTACCACCATCGACCTTCAGGTGAACAACCTGAGGGCAACGGCGAGTCTTCTGTACCTGTCCCCAACCCGCCCACGCCCAGCGCGGAGCTGAGCCGACAAGGAGGCCTCTGGAAATGTCCAGGAACGAAGCAAAGAACCGAAAAGGCCCTCAGAGCTCTGGGGTCTAACCCCTGTAATGTCACAGGGCTGAAATGGAGGCCCAGGGATGGATCGAGGGGACAGCCGCTGCTCAAGCCCTTCCTTTGTGCCAGCCATTCTTCCGGGGTTCTCTAACCACTGATCTTTAAAACCCTGCGAGAAGAGAGACGGGGGGCTGCCCTTCAGAGAGGGGGTGGGAAGACGCCAAGAGGCACAGTGACCGGTCCAGGTCACAGAGGAGATGGCCCTGTCAGGGCCGACACCCCCAGGCCTGGCTCTCAAGTGCAGGAGGCACTGGAATCATGGGTGTGGAACCTGACGAGGGACAGGGTCAGGATGAGGTCAGGAAGGGGCCCGACAGGCACGGATGAGGGGCCGGAGCAGCAGGGGTTCTGGAAGTAATGCCCCCCCCACCCCCTGCACACCTATCATAGTATTTCACTGCCATCTTCTATCTCGGGGGAAAGAGGCCACCGCCGTCCTACAAATGACACTAACTGTCAGAGAAGTCGTCTGTTCAGGCTCTCAAGTAAGAGGGCCGGACGGGAATCTGGACTTGGGTCCATCTCCGTCCCAGCGGCCAAGAGGGCAGACCTGGAGGGGGCGGGAGGGGGCA